CTTCAGTATCCAATATATACCCACTATCCATGCCAATTTATATCTGGCCTTCAGTATCCAATATATACCCACTATCCATGCCAATTTATATCTGGTCTTCAGTATCCAATGTACTCACTATCCATGCTAATGTATATCTGGTCTTCAGTATCCAATATATACCCACTATCCATGCCAATTTATATATGGTCTTCTGTATCCAATGTACCCAATATCCATGCCAATTTATATCTGGTCTGTTGTATCAAATGTACCCTCTATCCATGCCAATTTATATCTGGTCTTCAGTATATTTATATCTGTTCAATATATATTAAAATTAAAAGTGATATAAAAAACAATAAACTGCATACTATTGTATTGATGAGGTTCTTTCGTCTAAGAGTATTATATGTAGCAACCATGTTTTGTTTAATATGAATTTTACGAAATGATGATATCATAATAAATTGTGTTGTTCTTTTTTAGGAATTTTCCTGACACAAATTACAGCAAAGTTTTCAGTATTGGCAACTCTACTAAGACCTTGTTAGTGGGGATGATAGATACTATTTTAATATGCGGTAACACAGATGATGCTATAACAGATTCTAAACTGGATGAACCGGTAGATCCAGCTGCTAATCAAGCACAGTTACAATAGATTGGACACTTTGAGAAAATCTAATGAGTAAGTTACCAGTTATTATTTAAACTGCCCTTGATTAGGTCATTCTTGGTGTACATGGCTAATTGGCATTGTATGTGTCTTCATTGCCTCCCTACATTGATTTGTTTATGATTGTTACAACTGATTTCAGCAATTGTTTCATGTTATATACACCAATGAGGTTCCTTGTTGCATTCTACAATATTTCTTGTTGCCTGCGCCAATCAAAATCCTTGTTATATTCTATACTGTCCACCAATCAGAATTCTTGTTATATTCTGTATTGTTTCCTGGTAATGTAATCTTTACTGTTTCTTGGTAATACATTATACCATCCATGTTCCTTGTTATATTCGCTACCTCTTGTTATTAATTACATGCATCTGTTGTAGTTGTTGAATAATCCAATAATAATAATTTATTTCATGCATTGACGTTTTATACCTTACCATAATTATGTGTTAATATTGCTTCAGTACATATATAATAGTTAGCGGTCACTATCCTGTCTGGTCTATAGCTGAGCATGGTCCCACTAAGTGTCTCTTGCAACGACTAAAACCTATGCTGGAAAAATACAGGGTTACAGCATACTGCAGTGGACATTACCATAGCTTACATGTAAACCCATCATCTTGATGTTTGTCATGCAGCATACGTGTACATCCAAATTTCATGTAAACAATGTCTTTCACAAATGTCAGGAGTCTAAATTGTCTGAAGTGAGTGCGGTGTTTGTTCTTATTTCAAATTTCTGAGCTTGAAACATGTTCTGTAGAACTGCATAGATTGGTGAGCCATATTTACAATTCAGGATTTTTTAACTAATGTTCAGTAAAGCCGTTCATGTATTTTGCCATGTACATGTTAGTAAAGCAAAAAAATTTTACAGTAATAACTTATGTTGAGTTTCCTTGCATTTATAATTTTAACATTTTCGACAATATAACTAGTAAGTTTGTTTCACACTTTCACAGAATATTTAAAATTGAAGTTGCGATTTAGTCCAGCGATCATCCAGCCAAGACCTTGTTATTTCCCCTATGTAGACTTCTAAATTTTGTGGTTTTTATTGTGCAATTTTTGTATGTATGACAAAGATTCAGGATGGGTAATTTTACCTTTCTAGACAAAAATAACAAACATTTGTATCGTGTTTATGTGTTCTGATCAGTTGATTTCACCCTGACAGTGAGAATAGAGATCACATTTCAGTACCATAATCGTGATGTACTTTTTAATATTTAAACCACTTCATTCAGTTTAATAGATCATCTAGTACCCTGCTTCGCAGTAGACTTATTTAAGACACTTACTGGTAGTATTAGTTCAATACAAATATATTTTATTTTCAGCATATCAAAGGAAACGTCAGTGTAAATTACTTTGTTGTTGGTTCTGGTGCTATAGTGGATCCCTTTACTAACCATACAGATGCCATCCCGCGTGGATCACTCCAGTTTCATTATGCTGATCCCAATAGTCTTGGGGGATTTGCTTTCATTGAAATGACGCATCAGAGTGCCGTGTTCACATTCATTGATGCTACAGCCCATAAAGATCTATACCAAACTATACTTTATCCAAGAAAAGATAATGACATATAGTTTTATTATTATAATATTAACAGTCATTTGGGGTTGGTAATGGTTACTTCGTTTTGCAACTATGTTTTTTCTCAGTTTGATAAAATGATTCTGTAACATCAGATTGACTAAGAATGGTTACGCAACTCCATTAAGATAGATATCTGAGTTTGGTTAACAGCTGTTCATCATTTTCAAAAGAAAAAAACTGTAATGAACATTATTTTACATTGACTAATAACCATCGATCCAAACATCATAGACGCTGTGAGTCCTTACACCTATTTACGTCTCCAAGTGATTCGCTACTAGAGGCCACATCTTGAATGGTGCATTTACATACATTTTCAAAAATCTTAACAGTATGCTTGTAGAACAAACTATAATTCCGATAACTCGCCCCTTCTAGTGATTGTTTGCTTCTGTGATGTAAATGGATATAAGAGACACAGTCTTGCTATTATTTTGATCTCTGGGAATTGAGTATATTGCGACTTATTCGAAAGGTATATTCAGGCTTGCCTGGTACAGGTCAGATTAAAAGCTGTCTTCTCATTGGTCGTTAGCTTACAATCATGATATTAATTGGCATACAATCCTACATGAGAACAATTGTGCTAACTCTAGAGAGTACAGATGAATAGATCAATCACAATTTTACAAATTATCACTTTTAAAATAATAAAATTGCTAGTTTGGTCAGTCTAGCTTCACATGTATGATATGATTATGTAGAGTTGTAACTTTCAGTGTTATTTTTATAATGAACGTAATTTAAAACTATGACTTTGAGTTTTAGCTTCATCTTAGTGACTAGTATAGATTTTGATTATACCACTTACAATGACTTGTTTTTTTTATTGTTATTAAGATTGATTTTCTTCTCACCAACTTAGAAAACTTGTATGGGTTATTGGAATATAAAATTGTCAGAGTCCAATAAGCCAATCAGCAATGGCCTTAAAGTTAGGCTATGATTTTTGTTTCAAATACTCTGTGAAAGTGTTCTAGGTTCTTTGGGTAATGAGCCGTCCATATGCATGGCATTTTCCTCATATAGGAATCTGAATTTTGCCTTTCATATCATGTTTTTTACGTAGGGTTTGAATGAGTGCTGATACAGTTTTTTCATCAAATGACAGATTCTATTGTTTTTGGTGCTAGATGTACAATAATATATATTATTTGTTGTTTCCAACAACCAAATTCTATGCAAAGTCTCAATTGGCTACCCAACCTTAATATGTGATTTTCTTGTGTGTTGCGTGAAAGATGCTCGCTGAACGTTTGCGGTAAAAATCGGACGATTTGATTTTGAGCTCGAATTCCTGTATTTCATAGCTCACATCGAAAGGCCGATCTTTGACAGGGAAATATTGTGTTTGAATACACTTACTTCATCGAAATTGACCATCATTAAATGTGTACAGCATATTATTAAGCATGGAAATATTCCTCAAAATAATTCCGAATCCCATGCGATGTTTGTCGCCACTACTGCTTGTCTTGTTTTTACTTTTGATTTCATGCTCAACTTGGGATCTCTTGCAGTGAACAGAAAATGTTTTATTGAATTCGTTTTTTATGAAATTTCAAATAATCTTCTCATATGATTTAATTGTTTGTGGTAAAAATTTGTTAGGTTTTTAATCAATCCACAGCTACTTACAAGATGGTGTCTGATTGGCTATCCAACGTTAACACCTATCAATCAGGCCAATCAAAGACAATGCTCAGCTACTTACAAGATTGTGTCTGATTGGCTATCCAACCTTAACACCTATCAATCAGACCAATCAAAGACAATGCTCAGCTACTTACAAGATTGTGTCTGATTGGCTATCCAACCTTAACACCTATCAATCAGACCAATCAAAGACAATGCTCAGCTACTTACAAGATTGTGTCTGATTGGCTATCCAACGTTAACACCTATCAATCAGGCCAATCAAAGACAATGCTCAGCTACTTACAAGATTGTGTCTGATTGGCTACCCAACCTTAACACCTATCAATCAGGCCAATCAAAGACAATGCTCAGCTACTTACAAGATTGTGTCTGATTGGCTATCCAACCTTAACACCTATCAATCAGACCAATCAGAGAGCAGCTAGTTTGATGACAGGTTTTTTCAACATATAAAATTTTACCGGTACTTAACTGATCATTTGTAACACAGTATTTATCCATGTTTTGTTACGCTATGCAGCTTGAACAATGCAAAGTTATTTATTCAGATGTTATGTATTTTTTGTATAAGATGAATAAAACAAGGCTTTGAGAATGTTACTTCTGTTATTGTAGTTTTATATATGACAAATGAAATGCTCTTGTTTGGAACTAAAAAAATGATCTGAGAAATGAATTCAAATATATGAAGCTATGAAACAAAATGGTCACCAGTAATTGTTAATTGAAAAAAACATGAATATAAAACCATCATACTAAGTTGAAATAATTTGGCCTAAGCATGTCCCCCCAAAAAATCATTTTGAAAAAAAATGGCTACCAGTCGACCATCTTCGACAAGAAGTGACACAGACCAAATTTGCTTGTGTACCAAGCTCAAACCCACCTGAAAAATCCAGATTTTTGTTATAATGCCTACCAGGTCTTGAATTGGAGTATAACACAAATCAACTTCTGTTGACGTGCTACAACACGATCATCTGCGAACCAAGTTCAAACAGTGTGAATTTGAGATATGCCGGTAGGCAGAACTGTCCAAAAAATATGGTCAGATATATTGTATAGAATCTTGACAAAAAATCAACTAGCACTTTTGAAATAGTATACTGCCTCTGTACCAAATCTGAATAAACTTAGTAATAATGTTATTGTAGGTGTTTAGGCTATTCTGGGATCAAATATGGCCAGTAGGCCATTTTGAAGCTGAGCAGAAGGAAAACTGGGGCATACATGTATGTATACCATCATGTATCAACCATGTACGAAGTTAGGAAAAAATCAGTCTATGAACTTCAGAAATACTACAACAGACAGAAACCAATAAATCCATAAGCTTCTGGACTGTGTCTAGTCGATTGAGGCAAATTATTATTGATTCATGCAACACTCAAGGAAGTAGAAGAAAAGAAGAAATTGTATGTTCTACATGTGTTAGTACCGTCACGTTCATACACACATGTAAAAAATAAGGTTCACAAATGGTAGCCATTCTGAAATTCAACGAAAAGCCTGACATTAACTGACAAAATATCACACCAAAAGTCAATTCTATATTTGGATGAGAAAATATGTGTGCGATTTTTACAAATCTCAAATGTAATATAGACGTTTGAAAGAAAATTTCAAGAGATTGGTTGAACTTGTAACTGAATTGTTCATTCCAGTTAATTCATCTTCCTGTAGTAATGGTAAACTCACAAAACTGTATTGATTATATATCAATGTAAATTTGCTGCGTGTCTGTTCTGAAAATAACCATCAATGATCATTTGACTTAGTGGAAATTTATATAAATTCATATAAATACCACCATTTATCAAAAGAAATTGATAAAAACCATTTCCCCTCAGGCTGCCTGTAGAGGGCGCCTTGATCGATTTTTGAAGCGCCTCACCCCAATGGCACAATGCGTGTGTAGCCCCAGTCTCGTCATACAAACTCAATTATATTGCAATCAATTTTGAGCTGTGGATTAGGCTGGGTTTAGCCAACTTAGGAGTCATCTACTTACGCTGCTCCTGTCAAGTTCACCAATTGTTGTCTATCAGTGATGAGGGCGCTTACTCTATAAAGCCCACACCAACAAATATTGAATTAATTTATACTTACTGATTAAATTAAATCGCATTTCTAATCAGATTTTATCAAACATGGCTTTTTGTTGACTGCCTTCAAGCACCCAGAGATCTTATTCACAGTAGAGAAAGCATAGCTTGATCTTTTAATTACACAATCGCCAGAAACACATACTATGAATCATTACCTCGCCATCATATTTTGTTTCAAAAACACCAGAAAATTGCATTTCTAATCAGATTTTATCAAACATGGCTTTTTGTTGACTGCCTTCAAGCACCCAGAGATCTTATTCACAGTAGAGAAAGCATAGCTTGATCTTTTAATTACACAATCGCCAGAAACACATACTATGAATCATTACCTCGCCATCATATTTTGTTTCAAAAACACCAGAAAATTGAAGTCTTCTACAAATTCGTCGTGTACCGTAGAGAGAAGAAGTTCTACTATGACGTCAATAGACGCAATAGATGGTGTAAGCATAGGAGGCAATATGTCATCAACACATACTAGTAGCTAAGAGTCCACATATTGAGTGTCATATACAGATCTGAAATAGAAACACCGTTATTTTGATTAGATTTAAACACTGATACATGTTGTTTATTATATTAATGCATTTCCGGTATTATTCAGTTGCATGTTTCGCGTGAATGCACTGTTTATATACAATACAAGATCAAAGCATGTTATAATTTCGGTTTCCAGGCCGACAATGATGGGGTTTTTTTCATTACATGAGAAATAACGGCGTAAGTTTTAAATACCTTTGTTTCTGGCATCCATGCACATTCTTAATATTTCAAACAAATTAAATTTGAGTTATATTCGTCTAGTTTTTGTAAAACCATTTCCAAATATGTATACATTCGGTATATTCGAAACTATAAATCAAGATATCGTTTTTTTTTTTTAATAATGCGTTGCGCCACAAGGGGTACTCCCACTACAGTGACTCGAGAAATATCTCACACGTCTTCTGTTGGCAACATCCAATCTCCATATATAAAATGCGGGGTCCCACAAGATTATATTCTTGGTCTAATCGTATTTTTAATCAACATTATAATGACATCGGTAATTCCAACATGGCTTTTGACATTGGGAATTGTGTAGACGTTTATATATATTTACCAATTTCAGTAAAAATACTATTATTAAAGGGCGGTGCTCGTCTCGCCCTGTTCGATATGGGACTCATAGCGACGTATACAACGCGTTTAAAATATATTGTTTATTTACATGAAATTCG